TACATAAAATTTAATTATCGAAATAAATTATTAAGATAATGTAATTTAATATTTTAATTAATTATATATTCGAATATCAGATATGCTCCAATAAAATTTTTTTGCCCAAAAAGGAGATCTTTCTATTGAAAAGCGCCCATATGTGATCTACGTTATACAAATGATCTACGTTATACAAATGTTCTGAATTCGATACCAGCAACTATAGTGTATAAAAATATGAAAAAAATAATTGTCAATAGAAAATTTCTCAACCATTCGCCTAAAGAACAACCATGCATTTATTTAAAGTGAGAAAAAATATAAGGTGAGTAATTTTCATTACTGTATGGATAAATGTATTTGTGACAATGTGTTTACATAAATACATTAGCTATGGCGGAGAAACATGTTCGGATCATAATATTGTTAAATACCGTATCCTGCAGGCCAAATTATCCTTTGCACTAAATAAGTGGATCTCTCTTTCTTGAAATATTATTTATATACAAAGATGACGTATATAATTGCATGATTTAAATAACCTTCCAACATTTTTAATTAGCGCCAAGATACGCTGGCGCAACAACGTCTTAAAATTTCATTTGTGACTTTGGCATTCTTTGTACAAATCTCGCACCCTCTTTCAAATGATCCGAATATTTTACTATAGGGTATGGTGCTGGAAACTGCTGTACTTTTATTGTTATAGAAAAAACCTTCATATACTCAACTTTAACGTTTTTTTTTTTAAAAAAAAAAACTGATTATTGTCATGTGATTGACAGTTTGCGGATCATTCGCCAATCACGTGACATGCATTTAACGTTACCTAGGTTATCCGCTATAGTCACATAAAAACAATAGTTAACTATTTTTATGCGGGCTTATATCCATGTATTAATATCTGATATATTCGTTTAAGGTCCAATAGTAATGGGTCAAATCAAATAGCCATCCAAGAAAATTTTATGTCGGAAAAAACACGTAAGCTTTTATGTCATAACTTATCTGTTATACATTCACACAGTGTATTAACATTATGAATTTATATAACAGTATTAGAATTGGCGGAATTTATTGAAGAGAGGTTGAAAGAGCTTAATGTAAAAATGTTCGACTACTCACAATTTAGCGATCTTAAACTTATTGGAGTTGGAGGATCCGCAAATGTGTATTCTGCTAAGTTCTATGGGCAAAAATTTGCGCTGAAAAGTCTGAAAAATACTTTAATATTAGAACATAAAGAAGCTATGTCGTTCATTCACGAGGTAATTAATCTTATTTATGGCCAATTTTAAGTAATATACGTATTTCGAGGGTAATGTTCACAGTCTTATACTTGGACATATTAATATTATAGTGGAACGGATTTTATATTTTTTATTCTTGTACATCCACTAATCTTAAGATGTCAAAGTATAAAATTTATAGTTGATTTAGCTGTTAGCCATTGCGTATTGTATGATGACTGTAATATAAAGAGTCCATTTTACTGATAGTCATTTCTCGACTATTTCTCCACAAATGAAAACCGCTGGATTAATGAATAAAGGGTTTAAGGGAAAGGAAGTTGTGTGCTACTTTTGTTAGGGAAGGAAAGGGACATTTTTCCAACGAATTTAGTTCCAAAAAGCATATTGAATGGACCCGTTGGTACTACAATAGACACGTGACATTTAAAATAACGATAATAATTATAACACTAAGATTTTTATTATACACGTAGCTTAAAATTTTACATGAAGTTAGTCATCCTAATATTATTAAACTCTATGGTGTTTCCAAAGGTATGAAAAAGTATGTCTTAAAATTAAATAGTATCTGATATTAAATTATAACCAAATTATGATTTAGATCCACAAACGGATAATTTCATGCTTGTATTGCAGTTTGCTAATGGGGGAACTTTACGTAATTATTTACAGTCAAAATGGAAAGATGACAAATTTGAGATTTCTTGGACCAAACTTATTAACATCGCGATTGAAATTACCTGCGGTTTAAGTTTCTTGCACGAAAAAAAAGTATGCCACAGGGATTTGGTACGTAATTGGTTTATATAAGAATTTCAAATCCTTATTTTACTAAATTATTTACATAAAATTCTTCTAGCATCCTAATAATATTCTAATAAATGATGGCAAAATTTTAATCTCGGATTTTGAAATATCAAAAAACATGGACAGTATAACGCCGACTTCGAGCATAAAAGGCTTACCAGCATATATTGAACCAAGATGTTATCTTTATCCTGATGAAAAGATTAAACGAGATGAGAAGTCTGACATTTATAGTCTAGGTGTAGTGTTCTGGGAGCTTACGAGCGGAACTCCACCATTTTCGGATTTACAAAAGCATAGTATAATAATAAAAATTTCACAAGGAAATAGGGAGAAAATGATATCTGGAACTCCCATAGATTATGCTAACCTCTACATGAGATGTTGGGATTCTGAACCCGAAAAACGTCCGATGCTAGATGAAATTTTAACCGAACTTGGAAGGTTATCTAAAGAGATAAAGACTCTGTCAGTCTTAAATATTAATAATACCAATCAACATTTATCACGTAAATAAGCGATACTGCATGTTTTATATCCCACTAAAATCATCCGTATGTACGGAGCTTTAATTCATTCACAGATAATAAATGTGAATTAGTAATATTATACGAAATTTCTTTTGTGAATATCATATTCTTTAAACAGTTATTTATTTTGCATAATTTTCGTTTTCCTTATCAAAGAAAACCATGATTTGAGTGCTTATCATATTTTTCATAATTTTTTTATTATATTATGTTTATTATGTTTAAAAATTTCCAAATTTCAATAGAAATAATAAAAGAACCTTGAGGATAAAAAAATTCTAAAATATCGTAAAGTTCAAATATTAAAATATAAAATCTAATAACGCACGAGTTGAAAAAAAAACAATCGATTTAGTAAATTCCTAAAACCACGTATACATAAAAATGAGGAGCAATTTATATTAATCTAAGAAGTAATAACTATTTAAAGATTTTGAACTAAATATGAGTTAAAGTTATTTTTATATTTAAAAAACCGAATTTAAATGTAAATACATCTCAAGTAATTGGATCTGAAGATAAATGCATTTGTATGGATAATTTCTCTTTTGAAAAATCGTGATTTAAAACAACGCTCAAGATTAGATCAAATTTTATATCCTATTTGATTGTATATAATTTACATATCAGGTTATCACGAGACTACACAGTAAAACTAGTTAGGTATAAATTGCTTTTTTTTTGTGCTAAAGCGAATTAAAAATTCTAAATTATCAAAGAACAATAAACTCTATATATAATAATAAAATTATATAAACTTTAATAGAGTAAAACGAAATCACCGTCTTTAAGAATATTTATAAAGTTATTCCTACATAAATCGTGTTCTTTATTTTCAAAAAGTACGTTTCCATAGGGCTATTTATTTCAATAAAGTACTGTTTCTTGATAATCTTTAGTCTGTAGTTGAATTCAAAGAACTATTTGTATAATCTTTTTTCATGATTTTAAAAAGTATTAATGATCTAAGAACAAAATTAGAGATAAAAACTGTACAAAAGTTAAAATTGTTCTTTTGTATATATATATTATTATCAATGTACCAGATACTTACTGATTTAATTTGACTCAAATATCTTTTATATTATGTATTAAAATATAAAACCTTTAAGTCAAATATATTATCATGACATGCTGTGTTTATAGATATTAATTCAAAACAATATATTTATTTAATATCAATTACAGGAAAATATTAATTTGCTAAGCAGTGCTTCTATTTTTGATTAATATTATTAAAAAATTAATAGTAAAGTTATTGTAGTTTATTTGCTAAAATTTTGCAAGAACATTTGAAAATTTCATATTGTAAACAATTTTCAAGCAATGATTTCTATATTACACTTTATAATTTATCTCATAATTTTACTAGCTATCAAGAGAATGCACTTAACATTGAATAACATTTAAATGTTATTTATAGCTAAATTTATTTTGCCTATATATTCAGGTTAAAAAAAAAGATGCATACAAGTTTTTTTCAGATAAACCTATATTATAATCACATACAGTATAAATAAAACATTTAATAAATGTTAAACTGAATGTTTAATATTTATGACCGACAAAATCTTTATCTCTTTAGATAACTTTTCAAGTTCGGTTAAAATTTCATACAATCTCGGACGTTTTTCAGGTTCAGAGTCCCAACACTTCATGTAGAGGTTAGCGTAATCTATGGGAGTCCCAGGTATAATTTTCTCTCTTTTTCCTTGCAAAAT